TGTTCAGAACTAAATTACACTGACTGGTTGACCAATAATGTCCTGTGGTTGTCTTAGTAGCCCTCCAGAAGTTGATAGGCATGAAGCTTAACACTTAACACTAACACTCTTTCCCTCTCTTTTTATCCCCCTCATCCTCTCTCTCTCTCTCTCTCTCTCTCTCTCTCTCTCTCTCTCTCTCTCTCTCTCTCTCTCTCTCTCTCTCTCTCTCTCTCTCTCTCTCTCTCTCTCTCTCTCTCTCTCCGGTGAGTTACAACAATAAAGTGGGAGATGGTGAGAGGGTTGTGGGGTGAGGGGGTGAGGGAGAGGTGGAGGTGGTGGGGGGCAGTGCTAGGACCCCCACGTCTCCACCCCCCCTCCCCCTCCCCGCCCCCCCTTACAGATAGTTCCAGACAAAGAATGATCAGCTCGTAAATATTTATACAATATGAGGGAAAAAGATTGAAAGTTGATGTCAATAAAAGAAAAAGTCGAGATGATAACATTGAAAGTTGACGTCAATAATAGTGAAAGTTGACGTCAATAATAGTGAAAGTTGACGTCAATAATAGTGAAAGTTGACGTCAATAATAGTGAAAGTTGACGTCAATAATAGTGAAAGTTGACGTCAATAATAATGAAAGTTGACGTCAATAATAGTGAAAGTTGACGTCAATAATAGTGAAAGTTGACGTCAATAATAATGAAAGAACGTCAACAATAATGAAAGTTGACGTCAATAATAATGAAAGAACGTCAATAATAATGAAAGAACGTCAACAATAATGAAAGTTGACATCAATAATAATGAAAGAACGTCAACAATGGTGAAAGTCGTAATCAATAAGAATGAAAGTCGTCATGAGAGTGAAAGTTTATTTGGAGCGAAGGAGAAATTTAAACTGACAAGAGTCAACTTGAAGAGAAAGAGAAATTGCACAAATCTGATCATTCGAAAACCACCTTAGACCGAGCGGGCACTCTGACCAGTGGTGGGCACCCAAGACCGAGCTGGCACTCTGACCAATGGTGGGCACCCTAGACCGAGCGAGCACTCAGAGTGAACAAATTGAGAGTGAATACCAGAGTAGAGTAAGGACAGAATAATATACCCACTCACCAACTGCACCATTATTGTGCATAATCACACCAGTGAACTATGATGGGTCCAGCCCCCATCATGAGCATCCTGAGGAGGAAGAGGAGAGTGGGGGAGATGAATCTCTGGAAGCTGAAATTTATATTAAAGGGGGAGGGGGGTATACAGTAGGGAGTGGTTAAGATTGCTGACTGGGAGTAGTTGAATCACAGTCAAATATGTCTGTGTGTGTGAGAGAGTGAGAGAGTTAACCCGACCTCACCTCTGACCCCCACCCCCAAACTCCCCTGAATAACAACATAAGAAGTTCATTCACCTACTGTGTTTCCTGTTCTCGGCTCCTCAACAGCGGCACGTCTCTTGAGCACGTCCGCGCCGTACTTCTGCGCACGTCCGCGCCGTACTTCTGCGCACGTCCGCGCCATGTACCTGCGCACGTCCGCGCCATGTACCTGCGCACGTCCGCACCTTATGTAATATAACCGTAGTTTCTAACGTAAAGACCTCTCTTAAGAGATAATTGATCCTATAAACATGATTCATCAAGCATAAACAACCTCTTACGAAACCTGTACGTCTTTCCTCAATCATGGCGGCTGTGTTTACATACACTAAACAGTTTATGAGCTCCGAAGCACTTCGAAGTTTTCATAACAATAATAACCTTGGGTTGTTTAGTTTCCAAGCTAGTAAAATGTTTTATATAAAAGCTACAATAATTAAGGAAAGATGTATAGGTTTCGCAAATGCTTGATGACTCGGATCTATTGAATGTATATATGTCTTTATCATCCATATTTCCTTGTCTCTCTCTACTTTTTGATTTTCCCAGTCTCAAACGTCAGGATACGTCTGAGAGAGAGAGAGAGAGAGAGAGAGAGAGAGAGAGAGAGAGAGAGAGAGAGAGAGAGAGAGAGAGAGAGAGAGAGAGAGAGAGAGAGAGAGAGAGAGAGAGAGAGAGAGAGAGAGAGAGAGAGAGAGAGAGAGCGAGAGAGAGAGAGAGAGAGAGAGAGAGAGAGAGAGAGAGAGAGAGAGAGAGAGAGAGAGAGAGAGAGAGAGAGAGAGAGAGAGAGAGAGAGAGAGAGAGAGAGAGAGAGAGAGAGAGAGAGAGAGAGAGAGAGACAGACAGACAGACAGACAGACAGAGAGAGGGGGGGGGTAACAGCCTATAATATCACAGTTACCCTCATTTCATTAAAGCTTTAGAACCAAAAGGGCCTAACTACCCGATATGACCGAGCTCCGGTTTATTGGAGCCATATGAAGCAACGGTTCATAGGAGTGTGCGATATTTAACTGGATTAGCGATAGCCTACGATCAACACCTCTCATATTTAACACTATACTAGAACGTTTCTGACTGGAACGTTATTTAACACGTAAACGTTGCGGAGTGTTCGTTGTTGTTGTCGTTATGGGAACAGATTCTGTGGTCAATTGTTGTTTACATATCCCACATGCTTTTCTACACCTGCAAATGGTTCATTTGGGATTTTTGTTCCAAATGAACTTTTATGCAGATTGAAAATGTGTGTCACTGACTTCAAAGTAGATTTTGTATATACATTTTTATTTTTAAATGATTTGAACAAATTTGTGAAGATATGCATCATGACGTCAGAGGTCGGGACGTCATCATGCCATGTATATGTTTATCACTCTGATTGTTTGGTAATATGTTTATTGTTTGTAATGTGTGTCTATATATGTAGGAACACGTTGTACTGAACGGGGTGAGAATAGCTTGAGCTACCTCATCCCTTTGTGTGTATTTTACCTCAATAAACGTATTTAAATTTAAATTCATTTTCAATGTTCGTTCATCTGGCGTGTCTCAAACCATGGCTTCGACTTCCCTCTCTCCGGGGAGATGGGGATAAAGAAACTATGGCTTGTGACTACCTGCGTTTGATGTGATGTAGCCGGGGTCAACACCTAGGCTTATTGTCCAGATTTATCTAAATGACTCTACTGGGTCTGGTTTAATTACTAGTAAGACTTCCCACCTTCATTTGAGTAATTCGCTTCTTATAGTTTATTGGTCTTCGCTTCCTATAGTTTTCATCACTTATTCCACATTATTTCTACATGAACTCATCTCCCCATATATCCGCATTACCTACCCCTTCCGTACATGCTTACATCGCCCTTCTTCTCTCCACCCTCATCCACCTCCATCCTTCACCTTCATCCACCCCCAGCCTTCACTGCATTCTGCTCCTTTATTGGCAGGTTACAGAAGATGAGAGGAAATGTCAGCACTGTGGAGAAATGCCCGACAAACCGCTGGAGTATTATCTAACACAGTGCATAGTTACAAACTCAATATGATTTCAACTTAGATTCAATAGAACAAAAGTTGTTAAACACATGGGGTATAATCTTACAGAAGCGACCATACGAGTCATAAATACTCATACTCCCCCCAAGTAAAACAGAAACAAGTAACACTTAGTGGGCCAGCCAGAGGCTTAGGGCCCGCGCACGAATATCCCTGGGCCAACCAGAGGCTTAGGGCCCGCGCACGAATATCCCTGGGCCAGCCAGAGGCTTAGGGCCCGCGCACGAATATCCCTGGGCCAACCAGAGGCTTAGGGCCCGCGCACGAATATCCCTGGAAAAAATCTCCTTTATTCTCGTTCCTTACCCCACCACCCTTACTCAGGTTTCCTCCCCGCCCCTTCGCTCGCGTCTGATCCTCCTGCCTCCCTCCCCATATGGCTCAAGTCTGCCCCCTCACAGCCCCCCCCTCGCTAGAGACTGCCCCCTCCCTCCTATATGGCTTGGAAACACTGGTGTGACCGAGACGATTTCCGGTTGAGAGTTTAGTCTCGTCCAGCGCTTTTACGCCTGCCGGGGCTGTTGCTCCGTGGCGGTGGTGGTGGTGGAGGGTGTTAATGGGGGTGTTCTGGAGGAGTGAGGGAGTGGTTACAGTAGAGGGTGGAGGAGGTGTGGTGGGGGGGGGAGTGGCGGCGGTGCTCTAATGATATTCAAAACACTGCAATATTGACGAAATCGTCCACAGCGTTAAAACTCCGGTGCTTCAATGACATTTAAAGCACCGCAATATTGACAATATCAACAAAAGCATATTGTCTCTCGTACCGTAATGGAAAAGTTCAAATGGTGGTAGGATGAAATGTTTTGACAACAATGTTTCCAGGTCACACAATTGGTTCTATAACACGCAGTACACGTAATGCTTTGTATAACTAAGTTGTATTACAGCCTCTTATTGGCCAACACTGTATAACTTGTAATGTTGTTTAATAATTAGTTACCAGACAGGTTATACAACCTGTCATTCAGGAATAATAGTACGATTAGCAACTATTGGTGGAGTACGTATAGTAGCTATTGGTGGACCGTACAAAAGTGGACTGTTGTACCCAGAAAAGTTCACGTATTGTACTAGTAATTTTGTAGAGGGCACGAGGCACGATAACAGCCAAACGTGACATTTTCTAGGCTAAATATAGCATAAATATGAAATAAATAACATTAAGCCTAGGATTGCTTATTTGGGCCTAAGACAGGTCAGGATGTATACAATCAACATGTATGTGCAGTCTCCATGGTATATATATATATATATATATATATATATATATATATATATATATATATATATATATATATATATATATGTGTGTGTGTATCACGAAAATAAACACGTGATTAAGAATGTGACAATGTCAGACCACGGAGGAAAATGAAACAGGAATTTCCTTAAGTACTTTCGTATATTAAATACATCTTCAGAAGGAAAGCTGGTGGAAAGCTCACCCATCTTCCTTCTGAAGATGTATTTAATATACGAAAGTACTTAAGGAAATTCCTGTTTCATTTTCCTCCGTGGTCTGACATTGTCATATATATATATATATATACAGCAAAATTAATTCTAAGAGTGGCCTTACAGGAGCATCAGTATGCCAGGTGAACGAGACGTCAGTGTGGGAGAGTGAGGGTGGTGGAGGCGTCAGTATGATCCAGGGCGAGGTGTTCAGGACGTGTCCTGGACCCCATGATCCAGCCAACCACACGGCCTGCTGCTACACTGACGACACTCCCACCTGCTGCCTCCCAGTTACACCCCCAGAGGGCATTTTTCTCATTGATGATCAGTAAGTAAACACTACCCTCATGTGTGTGTGTATTACATAGCAATTAACTCGTAAATAATAATGTAAACTATATAACCACGAAGGGAAAATGAAACTATCAAAAGTATAGTTAATGAGATATAATACTTGAATATATAGACAGGAAAAAGTGACATGTGAGGTAATAAAAAAATATATCCTGTTAAGACTGTAATACATTTTATATAGGTCAAACATTCAAAGATTTGAAATTTCGAATTTCACAGCATAAATATCCAGTAAGAAGTGGGCAATTACCTAATGCTCTATTTATTTATCACAAAATTCTCACCCAGTTTATTGGGGAAGGTAATACCAAATTGTAAACAATTGTTAATAGAAATATTTTTTAATCTGCTTTAATGCAAATTACATAGCCATACATATTAGTAATGGCTGATACAATTTGGATCCATTTTTAATTGATCTATTAAAAAACTATCTTAGTAAGATGATTAATAGACAGCAATCCCATTAGCGATATAGCTTCCGTGATCTCACATGTCTTGGCCATTAGGTCTGCTGCAGTTTCCTTTTGTTATTATGTTCATTATCCAACATTACAAAGATATTGCTTATTCACATGCGTCACCTTTTTCCTGCCTATAGTGTATAGTCAAGTATTGTATATCATTGGTTAAAAGATGAAAAGCTGCTATTAGCCCACCAAAAAAGTTTGTCATTACATTCAGTGCTGCATTGTTGTTGTAAACCGAAGCATTTACCAAGATTTTTTGAACGACTCTGCCTCTCATTTTAGCCTCAGAGATATGGACTGCTAATTGTATGAGAACTTACGTGATTTTTGTTCCACAGGATAGCCATGATCATCGCTCTGAGTGTGACAACAGTGTGTGTCATATTAACCATCGTTATCATTATCTGCTGCTTCTGGTCCCACTGTCCACTTTTCTCAGTTTGCCGAATACGATACCACCAAGATGACATTATTGCCTATGGTGAGTAAATTTCTACCTTGAATATGCCAGGGTTTGAAATATTTAGCTTAGAGCATGGAAAAAGCATAAAAAAACTCAGGAATAATGTATGTGGGGGGGGGAGGATTTGCTTATGACAAGCCGCCGGCTTCCTGTCCTTATCGGGGCCACTTATCGGCCTGGTCGATGACCGGGCCGCGGGGACGCTAAGCCCCGGAAGCACCTCAAGGTAACCTCAAGGTAAGGTAGAAGTTTTGGCCCTCAGGGCTTCATGTCGCCGTCGAGGTAACTAGAAACGGTGGCTTTCATGACTGCCTGTCCCTGTCTAAGTCACTAGAGATGGTGGACCTCAGGGCTTCCTGTCCCCATCGGAGTCACTAGAGATGGTAAACCTCAAGGCGTCCTGTCCCCATTGAAGCCACTAGAGATGGTGGCCGTCAGGGCTTCCAATCCCTGTTAAGGCCACTGAAGAGATAATGGCCCTCAGGTAAATTCGAGTATACTAAATGATAATTATCATCACTGCGTGTGCATGATCCTAAAAAAATTTAGTTTTAAAAATGTGTAGTTAGAACTTTTATTCCTTTCTCTATCTGTATTACTGACGTTAATTCTATCAAGATCTTCCTTCTGAAGAAATGTGATCATGGCAGTGTAGTAGTAGGCATCCATCAGTCTCAGGAGACTATGGAGTTGCGCTCTGGTTGTCAGTCTAGAGTGGCCTCTCCAGGTCGCAAAGCCAGGGTAGGTTGATACGCAGAAGAAGCTTTCACTCATGCAGCAGGTCCCCCCTCTCCACGGCACCGAAAGTCTCCAATGGAAAGGCAAATATCAATACGATTGGTTCCAGCGCCGTCGCAGGAACTGTAAGCTCCGGAGGTGACCTCGAAGTTGGTGAAATAAGGCACAGGGACTCCAAACCCGGAGACCGCCGTGGTCAGGGCCGTAGAAGAACGACGCCATCAAGTGCGAGAACGACCCCAGCCTCCTGAAGCAGAGTCTGGGAAGCACGAGCCCCTGAAGGTGGACGTCCCAGATGTATATAGAGGATAAATGCTCACATTAAGTAACTGCAAGAAGTGACACCTTACCTAATCCTTAACACTAATACGCCACTGACACATCTCTCTGCAGTACCACTCACCCTTAGTGGAAGGAGGAAACCCTCAAGCAAATGGCACATACATTATAATATACTGAGATGAAGACATGGATTACTGAAAATGTAGTCTCACACAGTAGGGAGTTGTTATTAACAGTTGAGAGGCGGGCCGAAAGAGCAGAGCTCAACCCCCGTAAGCACAACTAGGTGGATATAGTTTAGACCCTGAAATGTACAGCACCACTGACGATTTCATGGGTTATAAACTAATGGAACTGTCTACCTGTCAAAGCTGGCCAAAACTCTATTAAGTTTTTAAAATCAAGCTTGAAAGAATCATCGGGACAAATGGGGGAGCTCTTTGACAAGTTGCTGTCTTCCTGTCCTCGTCGAGGCCACTTGTGTGTTAGTGGCCCTCAGGCAAATTCAGGTAATTAGTGTGATTAACTTGATACATGCAGCTCTTTACAAAAATGAGTACACTAGGTTTATTTGATCTACATCAGGCTTTTGACACTATCAACCACAATAACCTTTTTTCGTAAACTGCAACACCCACAGTCAGAGGTCACTTCCTCCAATATTTGCAACCCTACCTCAGTGACAGTCTGAGTCACCTAAGGCTATTGAGGCCACAAGAGATGGTGGGTCTTGAATAAATTCAGGTACTGTATATACACACTAATATTTTTCAGAAAGAGTATCTGCAAATTGTGAAACTTAAAAAATAGTAACTTTTTAATTAAAAAAAAAAGAATCCCTATGAGAATGAACTTTCATGACACTCTGTTACCTGTCTAACTCTTCAGTCTGAGATCATCCTGGACAATTATTAACTGTCCTGTATTTTATCACCTCTAAAATTCTTAATAATACTCCTATTCTACAAATATATTAGCCTGCAGTTATGTTTTAAGTATGATTTATGAGACCATTAACACCATTCAGTACTATATAATATGCATTTTCTGTACCTATTGTACTAATTGGCCACTGTGTTTTTCATGAATGTTTTCTCTCAAACATTGTGAATCGATATTATTGAAGCTGTTGCATCTTTTATATACAGTATAACATTTGAAGAAGTTGAAGACCTTTTTAAAGAAGTTGTCTGGATTAATATCCTGAAACTTGTTCATTTATTATTACAGTACAGTATTATTATTAATATTTGATAGGAGTGATTATATTGTGTGCATTAACAACATTTTTTCTTTTACAGCTAATAAAGATGAAGAAACTGCTGGTCTTAATGACATGCCTCCAGAAATCACAAAGGGGGTGTCCATATACTCTCCAAACACTATGAAGGTCACTCTCAAGAATGACATATAGTGACCTCCAGCAATGTCACTTTCATATATAGCTTTGGGTTTTCAGTACTGTATACTGTTTAGTAAGCATTATTTCAATATAATGACTCTGCAGCATCATCAATCTGGCTACTACTGCAGCCTAATGATGGTATGATGAATATGATGATGAATATGAAACACATTGCTCCAAGATATGACTTTAATTGCATTACTTTATGTCTGTGCTTATTAACTGGTGGTCCTTGGGCCACTGGTGGTCTCTAGTGTGTAATGTTACATGGTTGACCTAGCCACTAGAGCCACCTTGGAATATATATATATATATACACATACTAGAGCCACCTTGGAATATATATACACACATTAGAGCCACCTTGGAATATATATACCCACATTAGAGCCACCTTGGAACATACATACACACAAACTCAAGCCACCTTGGAACATACATACACACAAACTCAAGCCACCTTGGAACATATATATACAAACACACACACTAGATCCACCTTGGAACAGTTACACACTTAAGCTAGAACATATACACACTAGACAACTTTGCAACATACACTGGAGCGCACCAGTGGCCCACGGACCACCGGCTACAAACCACAGCTTAAGAAGCTGGTCACAAATAGCACATGCAGCTTATTAACATTATTTTTCGAGTCAGCTTTTGTCAGTTGGTGTTAACTGCTTACTCTGAATTCACATGAATTTTCCCTCATATTTTGCTAGTACAATATATTTTATTTTGCTACTATACTGTATTTGACTCAGTGCCATCTTATAGGCTATATTATGCTATCTGGAGTCCTTTAGCATTTGATTAAAATCAAAACTTTGTTAACTATTAAACTGTGCTGCTATTTAAAAGTACTGTACTACATGAAAATGTATATGACTAAAAACAGTTAACCATTAAAATGGGGAAAATCTCATATAATGATTGTGATGCAGGAAGAAATCACATATAGAGAAAGAAGCACAGGAAGATATTGCATATAGAGATTGGAGTACAGGAAGAGTTCACATATAGCAACTGGAGCACAGGAAGATATTGCATACAGTAATTGGAGCACAGAAAGAGTTCACATATAGCAAATGGAACAAAGTGAAGTAGCTGCAAACAATGGAGCACAGGAGAAAATCACATATAGCAGTTGGAGCAGTGTAAGGGATAATATTACAGTATTGAATTTATTGTTTACATTTATTTTGATTAGTAGTTGTTGCATTTAACTTTGTAAAACTAAAACTAATTATTTATTCTGGACAGATTTAGGTCTGATGGAACCCTAAGCCCTTGCCTATTATCACCAACCAACTCCACCCTTCCCCAATCCATAAAAATGCTTCTTTTATTTTTTGTGATGAGGTGAAATTATACTTTCCATAAGCTCAAGCTTGATGGCAAGTACAGTACTCTACAGACTATTTGAATTTACCTGTGAAATATTTAAATGCTAATGATTTGTTGGACTAATGCTTAACTGCATATAAATCTACAAACTGGATACTGTGGTACATACCTAGGTACTTAGCGCTGTGTGAAAGATTGAATTTAGCTGTTGTGCTCTCTGCAGCTGACTCACAAATTAGAGCGAGGTCCTGTGTTCTATTCCCATGGAGGACAAGACGTTTGGGCATGTTTCTTTACACCTGATACCCCTCTACACCTGACGTGTCTTGTGGGTTGTATCCTGCGGACGGTCAGTCATTGGTATAGAGAGGAACCTTAATAAACCTTAACAGGTTTCCTATCCCTGACAATGGGAAACAATATGCCTCTGCATTAGCATCTAATCCTTTGTGTATTGTATGTATAAAGCAGAGTATACATAGTTCCCTAAACCCATTTCCATCACTAGGACTAACACTAATTATATTCATTATTAAATAATATATTATGTATCTGTAAAATTAATTTAAAAAATTCAAAATTTAGTTCTCAATAATTACTTAATTAGGCCTATTAACCAAACATATCTTAATTTAATTAAGCAATGATATGGAAACCATTAAAAAACTTTGAAGCCTGCTACTGCAATAATTAAAACAATTTGGTACTCAATGTTATAATAAATTATTATTATTTACATATTAATTTTGTTTTGCATATTATTTGTAAAAATGTAATGCATATTTCTAAAAGATAATCCTAGTATTGCCTTTTTCATTTTTCTTTCTAATGCTGACAATGTTGAGAGTAGTAATTAACTAATTATGTATAAACGGCCAAGGCATAAAGAGCTAGATCTCACTTCCCATAGTCACTGATGGGTAATCATTAAGTCTAGTGATTAATTTACAAATGAACAAAAACTACTGTACAAACACAAAGTTTAGCCCATTCTCTCCATTATCACTCCGTAAAAAATGGAGCATTTTTATCTAATCAGAAGCATTAGAAGCTATAGGCAGCCCACCTAAGCTACTGGAGTTCTCATTATAATTTCCCTACATCACCAAAATGTTTACATTGTGGTTCATAGTATGAAAGATGTAGTGTTCAGTAAGAGGACAGGTTGAACAGTTGATTTTCAATGTGAAGGAACTCTTTTTTATTTATTTGTTCCAATATTTAACTTAACTTTCAAATGTTTTTGAATTGTGTAAAATTTAGTTATAGTTATTTCTCCTTTGTAAACTATTGTTTATGTTAGTTGATTTCATAATACTTACTTCCCATTGAGTCTGGGACAGGAAGTGTATACTTAGCTCTCCCTAGCTCAATTACTGACCTTCGCATGGATGCAGCCCAGTTTTTATTTATTTACTGTATTTATTCAAGAAGGTACATTGGGTTTGAGTACATAACATCAGTGTTTTTAATTCTTGTTTTACACTATACATGCATAGTGTTTCAGGAAAGTCTAACTCCTGGGTACCTATTTACTGCTAGGTGAACAGCCGCATCAAGTGAAGGGAAATTTACTCCACCATTTCTGTCCTGCCTGGGGATTGAACCCGGGGCCTTGATTGAGAGTCATGGACGTAGACCACCCTATCACAGGATCCATATTTCCAACTAAATATGAATGACCAGAATAATGATTTTTATTAATTTGTCATTAGTGATTTACTATAATATTAATATGAAAAAAATACTTATTTAGGCAAGAGTACACACATACGATTCATGAACAGTAAATTTTGCAACAGTATGTGGTAAATAATTTTAAATGGAAGAGTGAATAACTAAAGCACACATGTAAATAATAATAATGATAACACATTTTATTCTTAAATATATATAAGAACATGCTACAATGGTTACTTAAAAGATACTGTACAGTACAGTAATTATATGATACCATTTACATGTACAGTATTTGCTAATTACCACTATAAAGACACAAATTACCAATAGCATTTAATGAATTTAGTTTCAAGTTTATTGGGGTAATACTTAATACAGTACTATACAAGAAGCTGGGTAACATATATGAATTATTGAAGACATACAGTATAACGAATAATATATACACACACATCATGAGATAACTTGCAACTTCAAGATTCACGCTAAGGAAATAGAGGTGCCAAAAAAACATATGGAAGTTCTCTGTTGCAAACAGAGTTGTAGAAGGTTGGAACAAGTGATGAAATATGGCAGTGGATGCCAAAACCATCAGTAGTTACAAAGGGTTACATCACGAAGATTATGGGGAAGATGGGACACTACCAGTGTAGCTCTCATCCTGTAACTACACTCAGGTGATTATACAATGGACACTGCACCTAGTCCTTTTTTCCACCAATGCCAAAGCATTTCAAATAGAATATTAAGAATTTACTTTGCACAAATCTTGACACCATCTTTACTATGGAACAAATTACCGGGTAACATAATAGATGTGGGTTTGATGGATTGTTTCAAGCATAGATTTAGATATATACTGTATATGAATGTGTTTAGGAGGATAGAAATAGGAGCTGCCTCGCATGGGCCAAAAGGAGCTGTATTATATGGACCAATAGGAGCTACCTTGTTGTAGGCCAATAAGAGCTGCTTCATATGGACCAAGAGGAGCAACCTGTTTGTGGGCCAATAAGAGCTGCCTCATATGGACCAATAGGAGCTACCGTGTTGTGGGCCAATAAGAGCTGCCTCATATGGACCAATAGGAGCTGCCTTGTGAGCCAAAAAGCTGCTTTATATGGACCAATAGGAGCTGCCTTGCATGGGCCAATAGGCCTTTTGCCGTTTCCTTTATTCCTATATTCTTATGTACTGAACATGCTCAATAAATAGCATTTGATAAATTTACATAGAATTAAATATGACACGAGTGTACTGTATGCTTGTTATAGTTCTCGATTATCAGCAGTGTGTGAAAAACTTCCCAAATCAAGTACAGTAAGTGCAACCATATGCAATTTCAAATTTAAATAGAATTAAACATATTACAAACTATATATATGCATCTAATTCTTTGTATTTGATCTAAAGTAGATAATATATTGCTTTTTTATTGTAGATGTGATTAATGTAAATAGATGTTTATTTAATTCGGCAGAGAATAATTCACAATAATATCGCTGAAAATAAATAACCAAATCCACATGTACGTAGAGAAAAAAATGTGAAGACACTTCGGTCTGACCTCGACTATTATCAGTTGCAACTTAACTAATAAGGATTCAAGAGGACCTAAATGCCTTCACTTTCTTTTCATTTCATGTGTGTGGGTTGGGTTATTTATTTAATTTTCATGTAATGCAATTTTTCTAGTCATAGTACATAATGAATGTGGTGTTTTTATGATGAATATATAGTACACAGTAATATTGCATTTAAAATATTGCATACAGTACTTACCTTGCAAGCAATGCACTTTGCAATTTTTAATAATTGCTCTTTAATCTGTATTGGATTGAAAATATGATTAAGTCAGTAAAAACAAATGTTGGACTGAAAATTCAAGAAGAAAGGATTTTTATTGTGTTTTGTTTTGGATTCATAGTGCCTACTATACAGTTTAATTTATATTGGTCTCTGCACAATTCAGTCATGATCTCTCAAGATAAATTATTGCTATGAATTAGAGGTGTATTGATGCTACAGCATCTTTCTGCCAATTTAAGTAATACCTGTATCTGTAATGGAGTTTGGGTCTTTTTATATTAGAGTATTGATTAATAAGACATTGTTGATGTTAATACACTTCTAGTAGGCATTAGAAAATATATTGTGTTCCATTGCATTTTTATTTTTAAGAATGGCCACAAATCTAACAAATTTTGCCATTTCTCTTGGAGTAGAGAAGGCTGGCATACATGACTCAGTAGACTTCTGACAACAGCTTAGTATGCCACTTAAGCAACCTAATTACAGTAATGGCAAGTACAGTATTTGTATCTTATGTTAAAATCTTGGGGTTCATTTTTGCTTAATATGTAACACATCCTTCCTATAGGTATAATAAGTAATTTTGTATTTAGGGTATAAGGTACATTTAAAATCAATATTTATTGGAAAGTGATAAGACTGTAGTGGAGATTTAATTAGAGGTCTTGTAAATCCAGCATTGAATGTAATGAAAATCCTCGTTTCGTTGTCAACTTGGTGGCTCCTGGCTAGTGGAGCCCTCCCAGAAAAATTAATTAACCTTGGAATTTCTCAGCTATATAAAACTGTATTGTGGTGCACCTGACAAAAAGTAGTTAACAAATCAAATAAAATGTGAAAAACTACATATGGTGATTTGTGCACAAGAGGTAATTGCAAACAGTGTAAGGGTTAGGCTCGAATTCTCTAGTGATGCAACAAGACATTTAAATGTAATACCAAATGGGGAGAGGTTGTATAATATGTGTATGCTATGAATGGTGACATTTTATATACAGTACTATAATATGTAGTGGATGAATGCTGTATGTTTATGATAAAATATTTAAAAATTTATAATTTTATATTCTGTTTTGTCAATATATTTTAAATTGTATATATTTTATTTGCATTTATGTGAAGAGTCATTGCTTTAAAATAAATTTTTTGCGTAACATTTGGTTTTAATAAGACACATGTTTAAGATTCCTGTGATATGTTAAACCTCATCTCTCCATACCAGTGGTTCCAACCTTTTCACCACCAAGGACCAAGGTGGTGATTTTATTAACTAAAATCAAACTAGTTTTTCCAGTTTCATCTCTCAATTGAAAGACAAGTAAATGAGTATGTAATGAAATAAATGGCATTATTAAAAAATCTTACTTGTTTAATCAACCCATCCTCCAGCCCAAGCAACAGGTCAAATACTGAGTTTTTACTAAGTGCAGTTATTAATTTACCAGACAACCAACTGAATGGCAGTCCCCGTGGCACAGTGGTAAAACACTCGCCTGGTGCTTTGCAAGGGACTTTCCCTGGGTTCATATCTTGGCCTGGGAGGATTGACTAGGCACCAATTCTTAACTGTAGCCTCTGTTCACCCAACAGTGAATGGGTACCTGGTTGTTAAATAATTTAACGGGTCATATTCCAGGGAAAATTAATCTCAAGGACCTGCCCAAAATGCAATGCGTGCCAGTGGGTTTACAAGAATGTAAACCCTTGTATGTATTAATAAAATAAAATAAAATGAATCTTTCATAAAGTATAATAACAAACATTAATTTCTGAAATGAAATTATATAACCCACAATATATTATATATTGTGGGTTTATGTATACAGTAATTAGACCTAGGTTAGGTTAGGTAAAGTACAGTATTTAGGTTATGCTGATTTTGGGAGTGTTTACACTACAGGTTGAAAGTGAACAAAGCACATTTCAAGTCATAGTCTTTAACATGGCTATGTGGGCTGTAAGGCCATGTCTTAGACCACTTAACCATGACATGCTCAAAAGCATTGCAACCTGGGAATCTACTATATCCTCTAGAGTTCTTGAGGCTTCCAGTGTAGCCAAGTCAAGGTTTCATACATTGCCCCCCCCCCCCTTCCCCTGTGCACTCTGGCTGGGTACACGAGTTCTACCTTCCTCTTCTCAAATGCACAAACAAATCACATTAACGTGATTTGTTATTTCGTTATCAATGAAAAAAATCAGTAGGAGCCATGAGGAAGATTCGAACCTGCACACTGGGTACTCCCAAGCACAGCCTTAGACCACTTTACAACATGCAGGTTCGAATCCTACTGATTTTCTCATTGATATAACACGTTAATGTGATTTGTCTGTGCACTCAGCCTTTTTTTTTTTTTTAGATATATACAAGAACATTGTTTTGATGAGGGGGCTATAGTTAATGAGATGGTTGCTGCTGTTCTGAATTTGTGGTTTAATTTGTCAGGTTTAAGTATAGAACCAGGTTTCACATTCATCCCTTTTCTTACTTTGATTTGATATATATAAATAACTGGGAGAAAATCTGTTTACATACATATGCAGTGGGAATGGCATTATATATCTCAGTACAGTACATTGGATGCCAGTTCCGGAGACTCAGTTGCACATGGAACTAAAAGAAATTGTACTAAATGAAACTTGACCTCTGTGAAGTGTCACACGAAAGTTCAACAACACTATTTTCTTGCAATTAAATACTTTTACATTTTTTATAATTATATCAATTGAACCCCTAATTCACTTGTTATGGACATCAGGAAGAGGAAAATAATCTCTAAACCTGTTTATTCAAACTTACCTGATATTCGACTAATGTTCTGCTGATGCTGCTATCTTGAATGAACAGTACGTTAATGAACATCACGTTAATGAACATCACGTTAATGAACAGCACGTTAATATTGATGAACACGTCTTGGGGGGGGGGGGGGATAGACCGCTGGAGGGAAGGAAGGAAGGAAGGAACTATCAGGAGAAAGCGCCAAGCCATTACGACTATATAGCACTGGAAAGAGGTCGGGATTCGGGATGAGACGGGGGAAAGTGGAGTGGTGCCCAACCACTTAGACGGTCGGGGATTGAACGCCGACCTGCATGAAGCTCTACCGTCCACCCCTAAGTGGTTGGGACCGCTGGAGGGAGTGAACGTAGCCTGCGGGCGGGTTGCCCGCTAGTGTGAGCCTTATCCTGTTAGGTCCCTGAGCGGCCGCTGACTCGCTCTGCCTTTCCAGAGGTGATGTCTGTGTGTCCCGAGCCTCTCGTGGCTTCTGTGCCTCGTGGCACAGCTCTCAACTACTGTGGCACCGCCGCCGCCTGTGTCTGTGCTGCTGGATCTAAACCATGGGAGGTTAACCGTGTTTTTTGAGGACGAGGTGACGTCTCCAGTAGCCGGGATGAGGAGTGATGGTGGAACAGATGGTATGTGAGCCTAATTTTATACCCTGGGGGCCACGGGCTGGTTCCTTACCACACACATACACCATCAATTCTCTCCACACACACGCATACACCATCAATCCTCACCACACACCATCAATCCTCTCCACATACACCATCAATCCTCTCCACATACACCATCAATCCTCTCCACATACACCATCAATCCTCTCCACATACACCATCAATCCTCTCCACATACACCATCAATCCTCACCACACACGCATACACCATCAATCCTCACCACACACAGCTAAATACTACAGTATAACTCCATTCTCACTAATATTAATATCAACGATACAAAGTCAAACTTTCCCGCTAAAAAGACACAAATCTACTATTTCGTATTATTATTATTTTTGCTTAAGGAAACATAATGATATTTCACATTACTTCGGTTAGCGAGTACGGGCGGTTTGTGCTGTGTACTGTGGCTCAGGCCAGCACCATGTTGGTGGCCGTTGTCAGTTTGGTGATCGTTATTCAGAAACCTTTTGAGGACGACGTCTTGTGGCTGCTGTGTGACAGCTTTGCCATGGATACGAAACTGTTCTTCACGGCCCATATATTTACTTTCCTCTTCGGCCATTCGCGCTTTGGCCTACGGATCATCTTGGTTTTTGTTGCTATTTTCCACATCGTACTTTTCTTCCTTTTCCGGAATATAAAAAACTACTTTTTCCGACACGAATGTTTTGGGTAAATCATAACTATTCGGGCGATGATGTTGGTGGACCTTTGTGTTCTCGTAGCTGTCAGCTCAACCTGGATCATGTTTACGTTCTGGAACACAGAGGATATGCTTCCATATATCAAAGAAGCGTGGCTCAAGCAATAAAGCCTCTACCTCTAAAGGAGAGATATAAACCGGATTATAAATGAAATCCAGCTTAAATTTTCCTGTTGCGGCCACAGTTACGGATATGCGGACTGGTAGGAGGAGCTGAACGACATGCAACACGTCCCATACTCGTGCTGCAGCACCGACACGCTCATTCCCTGCCCCATCAATGCCCTGGCCTCATACCAGCTTCTGGGCACGTATGCTCAGGACCACTCCGAGGTAATTAGTATGATAGCGGAAGTTCTCAATTCCGACAAGCAGTGTCCCAACGCCGTTATTGACTATGTTACTCTCATACGAAATAAATATTACCGCCTGGTCTTTATTATACTGCTCCAGGCTTATTTTATTGGGAACTTGGCGCTGTCGAGCATTCATAACTCTACCAAGACTAGAGACACTCTTGCTGTGGTGCCAGCTAAAGCTTTTTACTTCAACTGGACCCAAGACCGCTATAGGGTGCAAAAGGCTTAGCAGCACTCCAGCAGAGTACCTACCCTCAAGTCCTTCTTCTGACTCGTTTCTTGCCGGGTCGGTGTTCGATTCCCGTTGGTCCAGTCGGTTTGGCTCCGTTCCTTCCCAGCTCTTCATATCAAGTTAAAGTGTCGTTTAGTCTTACTGGCAACGCTTGGCTCTCCTTTCGTTTCCTGATAATTACTTTGCCTTTCTAGCGGGTGCTTGAGGACAGCGCAGGGCTTTGTGGGACGGCCTTTGAGGTCACCTGGAGGAGTGGGTGTTGTCCTTCGTACTATTGATTTGTGTTGCGAAGGGCAACCTGATTAACATTGTTTTGTGTGTGCGTGTGTACTCGCCTATTTGTGCCTGTAGGATCGAACATTACCTCCTGTGTGTGTACTTCTGTGTGTGTACTCACCTAGTTGAGCTTGCGGGGGTTGACCTTTGGCTCTTTGGTGCCTCCTCTCAACCGTCAATCAACTGGTGTACAATTCCTGAGCCTACTGTGTGTGTGTGTGTGTGTGTAAGGTAATTATCAGTAGAAAATGGTAGGACAGTAAGACTATGTGGCTCCTGGATGGGATATTCGGACAAGGAGCTGGGATATAAGGACAAGGAGCTGGGATATAAGGACAAAAAGCTGCTATATAAGGACAAGGAGCTAGGATATAAGGACAAGGAGCTGGGATATAAGGACAAGGAGTTGGGATATAAGGACAAGGAGCTGGGATAGGACAGAGTGAAGGAACAGTCCAAGTTCCTTCTACATACTTAGGTGCAAGGAGATCCTTGTACTTATGTATATAGATTTTTAGAACCAGCCTGTATAATATTAATTTATATATGATAAGACAATACATTTGTGTTATTATGTATTACTTAAAATGCAGAAAACTGCATTTATCTGTTTTTGAATGAATGTTGTTGTTGTTGTTTTAGATGTAGCTACTCAGACCGAAATGTTCATGTAGCACGGGCTATGGCGAGCCCGTAATTTTGAATGCAGATAACTTTAGTATTTATTAATTTGTCTTGGAGGAGGGGGGGATCAGGTGTAGCTTGGTGGGTCAGATGTGGCTTGTGTAGTGGCAGGTGTAGAACTGGGGTCAGATGTAGCATGGAGGATTAGTTGTAGCTTGGAGAGTCAGGTATAACTGGGGGGGGGGGCGGTGAGGTTTAGCTTGGGGGATGAGGTTTAGCTTGGAGGAACATAATGTTCACCTCGAAATTGTGTGTGGGAGCCCGTAGAGTACATACACCACTCACGATCATATCTGTGGTAACAATCCCATACTCTTCATTCACCACAACCTCAATATTAAAACTCCAAAAATAATTGCAGAAAATACAATCTTTTATTAATATATTTGTCAGAAAGTAATACTGCCTATTACAAGGAACTAATAAGATGACTATATTAAGAAAATCGCCCTAACTCTATTTCTAAATATATCTCCCACCTTCAGGTGACAGAGTATAGCAACAATGGAAAGCTTTCTGGCTATTATGTAGTAAAGATTCATAATTAAGCTGAAAATTAAATGAGATATAACTGTTTCATATATTGTGCGCACAAGATATGACGCTACTCAAATGTTTTAATGCCTGCGCCAACTCCATAGTCTCCTGAGACTGATGGATGCCTACTACTATATCCTTCATTTTCGCTAGGTTAGGGGGGCTGGGTAGGTTGAGTTAGGTTAGGTTAGGCTGGGTTGGGTTAGGTTAGGCTGGGTTGGGTTAGGTTAGGCTGGGTTAGGTTAGGGTGGCTGGTGATGGCTCAACAAGCAGTGATGACGTAGGCAGGTTACACATTTCTCCGGTCTCACAGCCTACTCTTCACGTCAGAAGCAGCAAAGTCATATTAATACTTGTTTTTGTTGCAATAATAACCCTTAACCACTTGCTCTGTAAGACTCAAATTGTTTATGACCATGTTTATTAAAAAGTCATTTTACCGCGCACACTCAAGTCCCCCCCTCCCCCCGTCACGGCCAAACTCTCCAGCTTACATACATTCCCTGCCGCAGCCCGCCACTAGACAGCAACGTCGACCTCTCCCTGACTTCTGGCACTGGCGGTGGGAATCACACTGGTTCCTAAACACAAAACAGAACCTCCCGAACGAGTTTGGGTTCGGGCATCCATACCTGTGGATAGAAGTCTCCATAAGAAACATATATAAGAAAACATTCATGAAAAAAATGTAATTTACTACGTTTCGGTCCGTCCTATAGGCCCTCATCTAGTCCGGAATTTACAAGGGATCATATGCTTTACCTATCCACCTACACCCAACCTGCTCACTGGCCATATACCGACTTCCTTTTCCTGTGTGTCATTACGGGCTATTCATGTCGGTGTTAGTACTCAAATTGTATGACTGCTGGGATATACCCAATCACAGTCGAGTAGGCCTCTGAAGTCATTCCCTACAGAGCTGGTACTGGCCGCTCACGAGGCAGGTTCAGTATCTCACGAGACCAGAGTTACGTAGGACCTCGGCTGGCCATATATATACCTTGTTGCCTTTTCCCAATAAACTGCTGAAGTGAACTATTGTGTATTCTCTACAACCAAGCAAGCACCATACATCTAAAAGGTAACGAATACTGGTGGCAGCGGTGGGATTAAAAAATCCACCACCTCTTGGGAGGCTTAATCTTCATCAATAAGTGTGTTTACAGATTCACTATAGCCCGTGCTACATGGCAATTGGGTTACCAGTAGCTGAATCTAAAACAACAATAACCTATATGGTGATTACTGGTTATTCATGCCCGTGCCACCTCTTGGGTGGCTTAATCTTCACCAATCACTGTGTGTGTCAGTCACGACTTGACAAGCGTGTAGGACGGAGCGAAACGTTGCATATAGTCACTTACGGCTGTATGGGGGTGGTATCAGCGTCGACACAGTGTCTGCCACAGGCGGGCTCCAGACAGCACAAGCCTGGACGACCGTTCCTGCTGCACTGGTCGTCGTTGTTACACTGGTGCAGGAAAACGAAGCAATTGATCCTCGGGTCAGGGGGAGGGCACTTGGGCCTGGGGAAAGGGTTGGTGTTGAATTAGAGACCTCGGTGAACGATTTGATACATATCTATATCCTTTATTACCAAGTTCTAAAATACAGCAAGAAAATCTAACTGTTAGATAGTTTAGAATGGCGATGATTGTTTACACTATGTGCAAGATTTGTTTATACAATTAATTGTAATTTCACTCAAGAGCATAAGGATTAACAACTGCAGAAGGTTTTTTTTCCGTACGGGGCAGCTCTTAATTGGCCCATACGAGGCAGCTCCTATTGGTCATTGTGAGGCAGGTTATAGTTATATCCTCCCAAACACACGTATGTCTAACCTACGGTTGAAACAATCCCATGTCTCTTAAGTTGCCCGGTAATCTGTTCCATATGTCAACAACCCTAAGAAAAAGAGGTTCAAGCACCCGCTCTGCTTCAGTAATTTCTTCATCGCTATATTATGCTATTGTGATTTCCACGTGCATCGACAACCCTTGTTTACAAACAAGTATTTATCCACAATTTTTTTTAAACTAAATATATCCACTTAAGACTAAACATGATCGTTCTTACCAATAATTCTATCGGATTGAGGACCACCTTGTAGCATTTCAGAGCTCGTAAAATGTCTATAAATACAGACTTAAGTCGCCATGATGGGGGGGGGGTAAGAGGTAAACAGATGTCTTAAAGGGTCCTGTGAGAGCATTATATATCCAGGTCCTTGTGTGCATGAGTGCCAGTCCGGTACAAATTGATGTTCATTCGTTTTAAAATGAAAGATATCATGGCTGGTAATACAAACTCGGAGGTTTTCATGGCAAGATCAATATTGGATCCATGTTGCAAAGGAAAGTTTCGAAGCTTAAAGTTGTATTGAGTGAAAAATTTAAAGAAATTCCACAAATCACAACCGATCTCTTAACTAAAAAAGGTATTAAGAAAAGTTTACAATAACGGGGCTGAAAATTAGACACGCACTTGACACATCTGAAAATATACGAAGTGACCACGTTTCGGTCCGTCTTGGACACTTGTCAAGTCGTGATAATGTTCCAGGACGGACCAAAACGTCTTCACACCTTGGTCAGTGCCCAGGACGGACCAAAACGTCTTCACGCCTTGGTCAGTGCCCAGGACGGACCAACACGTCACCACTCCCTGCCTCTCCAGGTGTGTGGGTTGGGTGTGTAACTAAGTAAAGCTGGAGAACTCACGATTGCTGTTGTTGGTATCTCTCCATACAGGTGTTGCCACAGGCCACCTGACAACAGTACCTGTTGGGGCCGCACTGGACATCTCCAGTACACTGCTCGTCGCAGAAGTACCCATTAGAGTCTTGGGGAGGACATGGTGACAAGGCCTGGTTCCTGGAGAGCAAATGTGAAAACATTATTCAGTGCAAAAATGAACTACAACAAATTCCCATCTTCCTCCGAGACTTGTATCAGAGTGGATACATAACAAAGGTAACACAAGTCTTCGACATTGGCATATCTCAGAGGCTGGTTGGGAGAAAAGTGGCCAAAGTGACAGGTGTATGCGGCCCCTTTGCGTCAACCCGAGAACTCTACATCCGCTAAATAGTAAACATTTCCACACATTTAATACAAGCTGTTGAGTGATTAACCCTTAGACTGCGGATCACGTTCATGACCGGAAAACTTCACATAGGACCATAGAGTTGTAAGCGTTGTAAGCACCTCACATTGGGGCTACTAACAATTAAGCTGACTGAGGCGTGCTTGATGCTTCCAACCTGTCGCTTGGAAGCAGAGTGCCCATTGGGCATGACTGTTGAGTCCCTCACAGCTCACAAGCAGTGTAACACAGTCTCTGCCTCTCGCTCACCTGGTCTCCAGCTCCTGGACCTGGTGCTTCTGCTAACAAGATACTCATTGATTATTTGATATTCGTGATTATCCAACTCGTTCTCGCAAATTCGTATAGTCAATATTGACTTATTAAATAAGTGCATTGGTGACATACTAAACATAATAGATACCCTTAAAAAGCTTCATAGAAAACACCGACCTTACCTAACCTTGTTAGTATGTTAAGATAAGCATCTTATTGCTTCGCAATTATAATTGTTACTTAACCTATTATAGGTATAGGTTAAGTAATAATTGTAATTACGAAGCAATAAGATGCTTATCTTTTAACATACTAACAAGGTTAGGTAAGGTCGGTGATTATCCTATTGTTAGTAATGTCACGATGGTCTTCCAGAATGAACTTGACGAAATAGTAGATAATCCAGGAAAGGGAAGAGGCAATAATATGTCGAGAGTGATACGTGTGGTGCAGGTGTGGAGTACCAGTGGTCTAAGGTGGGATCAGTCAGGTGTGTGGTGCAGGTGTGGAGCACCAGTGGTGGTGTGAGTGCGAGCAAGATAAACCAGGTACTCACGGAGGGACGGGGATGAAAGGAGGAGAGACTGCTCCTGCCACAGCCACAACCTGTCAGACAAAACAGAAAGATAAGACATGATATAGTTATCCTGGTGGATAACCAGGATAACCTAGCCTGCCCTCAGACCTAATCCATTACCATGAGACACCACACCTCCCCCCCCCCCCTCCAGCCATCTGGATACCTATCCAGATATTTGTGAAGGTCTGAGTGCATATCACGGTTCAGTAATAGTCTGTATGTAAACTGCCAAATGAACCTTTGCCGTAAACATTGTTCTCAAGTTATAACTTTCATGTAATAGAAACCGGTGCATTAAAATATAAAAATGTGTATGCTGAAAACATTTTCTTTGAAGAATTTTGTTTTCTGTAAACAGAATTAGCGGGCACACTGAAATAGTTTTTGAATTCTACGGTTCACATTATCGTCAATAATGCACCGTATTAACGTACCTAAACGTAGTGAAACCTAACCTAACCTTGGATAGAGAGTAGATAATAGCACACATTATGTAGTGGTTCCCACTCCACTCCCTTGAGGGGGATTTCCTCCCTGAGGATATTCACCCTATCGTTGACAGCTGGATTGGTTATCTTAACATGTCTTTCCCGCCCCCATCTTTCCCTCCAAACAGTCGGTGGGACTGAAGCATGAGGCAGCATAGTAACCCGGCCATGAGGCAGCATAGTCACCCATGAGGCAGCATAGTAACCCATGAGGCAACATAGTCACCCATGAAGGACAGTAGTGAGACATGTGTGTCACACGGCACCGTGACCTTCCTCAACATCACCCTCACACCTCGTGGCCAAGGTGTAGCAAACGTCATTATTACGACGCTTTGTTTTGTGTTAATACGTCGCATTTTTAACGCATTGGGCGAGTACTTTAAAAACTGGATTTTTATCAAAGTTGATGTTATTTCTATAAATAAAATTGGTCAGGTCGCACTCTATTGGTCCCGGGTTTGATTCCTGCGGCAAGACGAGGCCTTTAATTTCATCTGATGCCACTGTTCACCTAGCAGTAAATAGGTATTCGGGAGTTAGGTAACTGTTGTGGGTTGTCTTCTGTGGAAAGGTCAGGTGTTGGCCTAGGGGGACCTTACACCTGATGCCTCTGTTCACCTAGCAGTAATGGTAACCAACGTTACAAATACAACCTGCTATGAAAAGTAACGGCTCAGAAATATCTACGTTTTCTATGCCTTGGACTCGATAGGTTAGGTGGGTGGATTGGGTTCATACACTTCTGGTTAGGTTAGGAGGTTGGATTGTTGACGGAGTGGCAAGTTGCGAGGACTGGCTCCCTGATAACCTTCTTAGACACAATCAAACGGCATCAAATATAGATCGGATAGGCTTATGGGATTGGCTGAGTATTGACCAACAGAACTGTTGTGGTGATCAACAAGATCTTTAGACCTGGGAAGACCTATTGGTCCATACGAGGCAGCTCTTATTGGCCCATACGAGGCAGCTCCTATTGGTCCATACGAGGCAGCTCCTATTGGTCCATACGAGGCAGCTCCTATTGGTCCATACGAGGCAGCTCCTATTGGTCCACACGAGACAGCTCCTATTTATATCCATTCAAACCAAACATTCATATTGACGTCTAACCTACACTTGAAACAACCCAGTGACCCCACACGTCTATTATGTCACCCGTTAATATGCTCCACAAATCATCAACACTGTTTCCAACCCAGTATTTACCCAGGTCTTTCCTGAGCGTAAACTTACCCATTGTTCTGTCTTTCTTTTTCTGTATCGGTATATTTATAGAACCTTATTCATACTCCGACCTCCGCGGGAATCGAACCCGGCTGCTGTGGGCTAAGTTCTCTCGGCAGACCAGGTCCTCGGAGTCTTGGAGTGATAAAGCCAGAGTTACTTACCCAGCAGAATGCAGCAGAAAATATTAGGGGTGTCATCTTGATTTCACCAGGGACGGGACGGGACGGGATGGGACGGGACGGGACGGGAAGTAACGGTGCTGGAGGAGTGGTTCAGGGAAGCCGCCGGACGACCGGAAGACAATGGGGCCGAATCTTCCTTCTGTAAGAGCTGAGGAAGCGAGGTGTGACCACCACGGCGACTGTAAGCACACTGAGACGGAGGCAGCTGTGGTCCCCGAGGTTAACTCTGTCAGCCACAGTGACCCGTCATCAACCACAACACTCTGATGCGTCCTCAAGACACCTGTGCACTCATTTTATGGCGTGGTGGCTTATTGAGGTAGGTTAGTGTAGGAAGCTGTGAGGGGGGGGGAGGTTGTGAGGGGGGGATGGGGGGAGGAAAGGTAGTGAAGGTAGAACTGCGGTAATTCAAGGCGAGTGGTCATTAATGAAAGCTAATTTGTGGTCAGTGATGAGGGTGCTTGAGACCCTGGAGGTGTGTGTGTGTGTGTGTGTGTGTGTGTGTGTGTGTGTGTGTGTGTGTGTGTGTGTGTGTGTGTGTGTGTGTGTGTGTGTTTATATTTATTAACCGGTTTACGAGCTTTTGAATTTCAAAACCCGAGGTTATTATTGCAACTTGTCCTCAGGCTAGGCCTGTTAAATCAGCGGTTGTCCCTCAAGACACATTCATCAATGTCAATATATTGTGTATTACAAGTAGGTTGTTATGAGACGCACGTAGGCTGGACAGGATAAGCCTAAGTTAAATACTTTAAGAAATATTAGCAATTACAAATACCCTCAAGCGATTCTCATAGTCAGAAGTGTGAATTATTTGGTGCCATTCCCCTAGACTTTTTATTTGCAAAAATCTGATACCCATACAGTTGTTTCAGTGCTTCTTATTAATACAGCTGATGAGAGAAAGGGGAGAGAGGAGGAGGTTGGTGAAGAAGAGGGTGGGACGGGGGGGGGGGGTAATAGTAAGACAAGGGGGGGCCGGGTACCTCTCCTCGTTAATTTTTTTTTTTTTTTTTTGAGATATATACAAGAGTTGTTACATTCTTGTAGAGCCACTAGTACGCGTAGCGTTTCCGGCAGGTCCCTGGAATACGATCCCCGCCGCGAAGAATCGTTTTTTCATCCAAGTACACATTTTACTGTTGCGTTAAACAGAGGCAACTGTTAAGGATTTGCGCCCAGTAAATCCTCCCCGGCCAGGATACGAACCCATGGCATAGCGCTCGCGGAACGCCAGGCGAGTGTCTTACCACTACACCACGGAGACTGTTGTCTATCTACGATTAGAGGCAAGGTGTCCCATCTATCGTGACCCAACTTTGCAGGGTGAATGATCTGGTGTACGAGACGAACATAGGTTGGTCGGGGGGTGGGGGGGGGTGGTCACTACTATTAAAAGAGGGCGAGGGCCAATACTGACCCACTTCCCCCTCCCCTCCCCAAACCTAATCAATGAAACGTGGTTGGCCGAGTCCCTGGATTTTTTCACCTTTCTGAGATAGATTGAGATAGACGGGATGGGTGAGAGAAAAGAGGAAGAGGAAGAGAGGAGAGACAGGGGGAGGATGGGAGATAGGGAGAGACTGGAGAGTGGGGAAGGGGGGGGGAGGTTAGGTTAGGTTAGAAAGTTAGCGTCTGTTGGAAATTATTTCCATTTGAAGATCGTTTGTGAAGCATTTACAGTAAAGAGTTGTAATTCGAACAGAGGCCGCCAGGGCAGCACGGTTTGATAAATGTTCGAACGTCATCAGTTGTGAGTCGTGAGGAAAACATTGCTCATACATAGAAGATTTGGCGGCTGGGTTAACAATCATTTGACCTTTAACGTGGACGGGCTGTGTTGATGAGGACGGGCTGTGTTGATGAGGACGGGCTGTGTTGATGAGGACGGGCTGTGTTGATGAGGACGGGCTGTGTTGATGAGGACGGGCTGTGTTACTATTATTAACAACCCTGTAGTGCTTCGGAGCTCAAATTGTTTAGACAAAGCCGCCATGATTGAGGAATGATATACAGCTTAAGCAAGTAGTTGCTTTACCTGAATTTACCTGAGGGCCACCAACACTAGTGGCCTCGACGAGGACAGGAAGCCGGCGGCTTATTAAAGGTCTTCCTATTTGCCCTGATGAGTTTTTCCAGATGGATTTTAAAATTTAACAGTTTTGGCATTTACGGCTTCGGCGGGTAGGCGGTTCCATGGGTTTATAACCCTGTGAGTGAAAAAGCATTTGTTTTCAGTCCTACATTTTGTCTTGTTGTGCTTGAAACCGTTGCTTCTTGTTTGTGTTACGTCTGACCTTTTGAAGACGTTGTCTGGATCAACATCCTCCAAATTGTTCAGTATTTTCAAAGTTAAGGTGAGATGAGCCCTGTCATGTCTGGTTTGTAGTGTTGTTAGCGCTTGTGGACCGTCCATGGGAGGGTCCAGGTTCTTGCATGGCTGGTGACCGTGCAAGAAGCGAGGTCGTCACCCTACCAGCCTGGATATGGGAGGTCGTCACCCTACCAGCCTGGATATGGGAGGTCGACCATACTGGATATGTAGGACACGGTGACACAACTCTCAAAGTTGACCTCCACTCTGAGAACCACCGCTCGAGCACCAGTTGAGAAATTCTGCATTAACCACGTCGAGAATGATCAGCGTTATATTGCAAGTTTTGTTACAAATATTCTTGAGGCTGCAATTTACAAAGGTGAATAGCCTCTCAGGGTCAGTATATGAGTCGTCCAAACAGCTCCCCCCCCCCCCCGCCCTCCTAGGGGGGGGGGGAGGGTGCTGCTCCAAGTAGGTACTTACCTCTTGATAGATCTGACGAACCCAGTGACCGCTACTGAACCTGTACAGCAGAACCTAACCAGAACCTGTTCAGCAAGGAGACAGTTATCACTCTATTTACAGTAGTCACCCCGGCAACGGTCGAAAGAGAATTTTAAACCATTTTCTGCAAAATATTATATGCGAGGCTCAAGAAAGTCAAGTATTACACAGCTTCGATCTTGGCACTAGAGTAGCAGTGTAAAGTCAGTAATTAAATCATAAAAATATTACCATATTTAACAGTATAAGTTAAGGACTGTTCCATCTTCAGGAAGACTGTATTTTTGCCGACCCTCTCCTCGGATTGGCAATAAACTTGACCCTAATGCACCAACCGGTTAGAGGCTTTGTGTTAGAGAAAGAGGCTGTCAGGTAAAGTAAACAATCCTACTCCCTGCCCAGTAACGCCTCCTGGGGCCAATAGCTTTGGAGCCGACTGCTTGGCAGATGCTCCCCTGAGCTAGCATGGCGCCTGTGGCACCAGGCACTTTACTGCCATGAACAGTACAAGCTAAACTAATTTGTTTACGAGCATTGTTCCCCGGGACATCTCTGCGGGTCTCCACCCGTTTAGTTCGGTCCTTAATACAACAACAACAACAACTCTTACAAAGAACGTCGCATTTCGCTCGTATGCGTTACAAAAGGTCAAAAATTTTCGTACTTGCTCGCGAAAGTGACCTACTGTCCCGTTTTCTGTTTTGGGTCCTCTAGGAGAAGACACTTTAATTTGACCGTTTTCTTGACGTTGGGAATAGTGCTACAAAGCCTTCCCGGTGTTAGTTAGTTAGTGTAGTTCATTTATTATGCACCCCATACCCATCTTGTGGGCGGTAGTGGAAAGGGTTACAGAGGCAAATAATGGGCTCAGGGACTGAACCCCACAATTTATTTAGCTAAGCTTCCCGGTGTGGCGCCTTCTTTTGATAATTACTTACTTGACGCTGGGAAACAAGAGGACGGACTGAATGCAAGAAAGTTTAACTAGGTATGCCTAGAGATTATTAAGGTTACAAGATGCCCGCACCTAACAATAATTGAACGCAAAAAATAACAAAGACAGCAGAAGGCCTATTGGCCATACGAGGCAGCTTCTTAAATTTTAAATTTTGCCCCGAGGGGCGAGTTTATTGGGCAGCGCCACTCATCTTGTGAGTGAACATACCGCCATAGCAGAATGTACAACACTCCCCAATAGGAAGAAAACCCGCTGGGTTGTTCATCCTGTCACTTGTACCCAGACACAGCTTCTTGTCACTTGTACCCAGGCAGCTTCTTGTTCCTCATACACAGTAAGGTGAGCCCGGGCTTCCAACACGTCATCCCCCGACTCTCATGTTACAGGTAATAATGTTCGCTCGTGGCTAACTAAACATTTACACACTTAAAGGTTAAATATTTATAACCTGGAGGCTGCTATCAGCGTCTTTTCGTGGAATAAATAGATATACGCGCGAACGTTTTGTAATGCTTCTACACGTCAGATGCAGAAGCTGCCAGCAAACCAGTATATAAGTGTTTACAACACTAGTTTCACTTGAATCTTAACCACAAAGCAGACCGTCCTCATCAACACAGACCGTCCTCATCAACACAGACCGTCCTCATCAACACAGACCGTCCTCATCAACACAGACAGACCGTCCTCATCAACACAGACCGTCCTCATCAACACAGACAGACCGTCCTCATCAACACAGGCCAAATGCTCATTCCTCCAGCCACCAAACTCACTGTTTATGAATGAAAAACGGTTTACACAGGACTCACAACTGATGACGTTCGAATATTTGTCGAACACTGCTTTGCTGATGACCATTGCTTGAATCGCAACGCTGTAAATGCTTCACCTCTGTACTTCAAATACAAATAATCGCCAACAGAACCTATAGACACCTAACCTAACCTATGCATAACTAGACATAGAACTTTAATATATAATAATATTAATACATAAATGAGAACAAACCTATTTTGAATACACAGTTGCTAAAGTGGATGAATGCGTCATGAAGGGATGGCCGCAACTTTAACGAGCCTGGCCGGAGGGCTAATTGCTACTATAAACATTTGCCAACAGAACCCGTGCCTAAATATTCGCAATATGTTTATAATTTACACTTGAAAAAATTCGTATTGTGAATAAACAACATGTTAATTATTGGGGCATGCGTCTTGGAGGGGGTCGGCCGCTGGATGGAATGAACATCACCTGAGGGGCGTGGGGACGGTCGGTATAGACGTGTCTTGACACACTCTCCACGTTGTCATGCTTACTGAAGGTTTTTGCGTGCGACGGCACAAAGTTGAAGCCAATTTAAAAAAAAAACTTAAAAAAAATAAAAAAAAAGGTTTATATTATCATGGACGAGCCCCAGTAAGCAAGAGTTATACTGAACCTGGAGTGAAGA